TGTCATAACCCAATTTTAATTGGGGCTAAGTGAGAAAAGTAAAAGTTTGTGGACCGTTTCACAAAAGGTGTAAAGCTTGAAGGGCTGAGATGAAGAACTAGCAAAACAACGTCGTTTTGCCTGTAAGTTGAAATAAAGCCCAGGGTTCTGTCGAACCCTAGCTTCCCAAAATCTCATTTCTTCCTTTTGCCGCCGACCATCTCTAAGATTTCACAAAATTCTTCTTATCCATTCAAAGTTTGGATAGCCCACAACAACACAAGAAGAGATTTTCGGATTTGAAGTTCTTATCAAGAGTCGCAGAGGATTTTCGAAGTCGATTCAAATTGGGAATCCTAATATTTTAAAGGTATGAATCTAGCCTTAAAAAAGGGAAGATGTGTAAAGGCTAGGGTAATTTTAGGATTCCAATTTCAAATAGGATTAGATTATTATCTGTAATTTTGGGGATTGGGATTAGAATTGAGAGTTAGAAAAAGGGTTGGAGTCCTCTCTATTTCTGTATAAATAGGGGGGCACCTTCGGCTTGAAAAAAAAAAAAAAGATTGGGGGAAGGAAGAGAGATCCGAGAGTTGAGAGGGAGAAAGGGAGCGAATCGAAAAAAAAGAAAAAGGAGAAGAAGCCGAGAGAAAGCAAAGAAGAAAAGTAGAACAGAGGTGAAGTAGCTGCAGGGGTTAGCGAAGAGGAAGCTTGTATTTAGGATTTCACAAAACAATAAAGCATTAAATTTTGCAGCTCCTTACAGGTGTGAAATTTATTTTATTTTACTACTTTTTTTCCCCTTTTACATATTCTGCAGCATGGGTAATCTTGTGTGATTCAAGTATCTCTTCTATTATTCGTTCTGGAAATCGGATGTGGTGAAATTTTTGTTGCAATGAATCTTTTATTTGATGTATTATTCTTTTGTGGAATTAACTTGTATGAATTAATTAGGTGTTTGAGGGATAAGACAAAGATTTAGGATGAAATTTGTTTTTATGATTACATGTTGGAAACCTCAAATGATGTGCAAAATTGGGGAAAAGAAATTTATTTTAGGGAATAGGAAAGGGGGGGATTTAGGCATTAGAAAAAGGAATAGAAACGAATAAAAAAAAAGGAAGCAGAAGCAAAAAAAAGAAAGCAAGCAGAAACGGTAAAAAAAGCAAAAACGAAAATAAAGAAAAGAAAAGAAATGGAGAATAAAAAATGATTGAGGATTTTTTTGTTTTTTTTTTTTGAAGTGATTTTTTCTTTTTGATTTATTTGGTAATTATTATTATTTGATAAAAATTGAAAATTCCCCAAAATTAAAGTATGTGGTAACCATATTTATATGGAAGTTTGTGGGGTGCCTAACACCTTCCCCACACTTAACTGACCCTCCGAATCTAGTCAATTTCTACGTAGACCTTGGTGATCTATCCCACCTCATTTGGATAGATGGCGACTCCATCCATTTTGGCACGTCAACATCTGGTATGTTGATTTACACTGGCATGCACATCTGTTCTTGTTTGCTACTCCATTTTGATTGGGATGTTCTGTCCAAGAACAACTTTACCCACTTTCCATTCTTGCCAATGAACTTTCACTTCTTGCTAATAGGTTGCAGGCAATGGTAGTGGCTGAGGAATCTAATTTCAATTTTTCTTCTATCTTTTAGTTGAGATTTATTTTACTTTCATGTGATGAAGGCTATTTAGGTTTCCATCAAGTGATGAAAATTGGATATCCATCTCACACTGTTTCCTAAGCTTCCATCAACTGCTAAGTATTTCTCTAAAATGGGGGTTGAAGGAAATAAGTTTCATCTAACAGTAATGATGAATACAAGCTAAAATTGGTGGTTACTTTTTTTTTATGAATATTAGCTAAAGTTGGTGGCTACTCTTTTTTGTTGCAGCTTGTAATTGCTTTTTATTAGTAGTCTTTAAATGTTTGAACCCAAACAACCTGTTGGTAGGGCAGGAGATACTATGGCAACTGATTTACAAACAAGACAGTAGTGCATGGCTAAGATTACAAAGATGATCCATATCAGTTTCACCCTTTTTGTTTCTTTTATTTTTTATTCCTATTTGTCTTACCTATAGGAGTTATAATGAATGATGAGACGGTACATAAATTATGCAAGAAAGCTATTTCTCAAGTGTAACTTTTGTAGATTATTTTTGGTTAGCACTTATAACTTTCAAAAAATATTTAATATCTCCATTAGAGTTTTGAGACTATGAGCTCTGCAAATTACAGGGAGTGTTTGATCGTGGTTAGTGAGATGAGACTAAAGGAGTTGATATCCTTTTGGTCAGTATTTCTCCTTGATTAGTAACAGTGGACTCTTGTTCATAATGCTGAACCTCCTTTCTGCTGAAGTAACTTTAATGGTCACAGGTGAAACCTAGTCTTCCTTATTTGGATATCACAAGAATTCTCAGGGTCAAGGATAAATCTCCTCTACCGATTAGCATATTAAGTAATTTTCATTACCCATTTTACTTTGCTTTATCATCTTATTACCCTTTTTATCGTTTTAGTTCATGGAAGAAAAGGTTTTCCTTTAATTGCTCTATACAGTAAGCCTTGATCAAAAGGTTTGCTTTAGATTACTTTTTTTTTTTCACATTTTTCTTGTATGCAACCATTTATGGTCTTTTAATTCCTTTTACATTGGAAACTTATCTTAGAGATGCTTCAGAATGAATTTAATTATCTCCCTGTCTTTGGTCACAAGTCTTCTTCATGATGATGTCTTGGATGATGTTGATAAAAGTTGTGGTATTGGTTCTTCAATTGTTATAATGGGCAATACAGTTCTCTTGATTTCCTTAAATTAAACTGATTGGTTTTCTTTTTCATTCACAATACAATATTGTGGATTATTGATGCTTTATAAAAAATGATTATTTAATTTTTAGTTAATAGATGTTATGAATTGTTTTATTTTGAGTAAGTATAGTTAATGGATGTTATGATTATTTGCTCTATTTTTAATTAATGGGATGTTGTGAATTCTCTGTTGTCTTTTGAGTTTTTAGTTATTCTAGTTTCTTTGATTGGCTAAGTTTGATTATAGTTTATTAATTGTGTCCTTTAAGGTTCATAGTGCTATTGAATTCAAGAGAAGCCATGTGTTTCAATTTGTTGTTGAGAAAGCACAAATTAAAGTTCAATATGTTTGTTCAAGTTGAATGGTTCAATGTCAAATTATGGTGCTGTTGAACTTTCGTTAAGGTTTATTTTTCAAACTTCTGTCAACTTTGTTTCAATTGCAAGATCTATAACAAACATCACCTTATTAGAGGAAATGACAATCTTAACCAGCCTTCTTTTAACCAAATGCGACAAAAGTTACTTTTAAAAACTATACTTATTTGTTTTTAAACATATCCTTATTAGTCATTTAATATTAAACAACAACTGTTAACTATTGTATAATCAAACAATTATATTTATCAAATTCACTATTTATAATCCGCTACCCACTTTTTGTTATCAGCTACCCACTACCCGTTACCACTATTCGCTATCTTCTGAATTTTGATTGCAGCACCGAGCAGGCCCTCGTGGCCAATAGTGACCATGGCTTGGTGTTGCCTCCCTCAATTCCCATCCTTCCGTCCAGCTTCCCAATCTGGTGCTGCAGTTCACAATTTCAGAGCCTTTGTACTTTACAATCAATTCCAAATTATTTTATTTTATTTCTTTCATCCAATTAATTTCTCATTTTGTTTTTGAAAATTGAATTTATTGGAAATTAATTTTAATTGAAACTCTGAGAAAAATTTTCAAATAAATACCTGACCATAAACGGAGGATCTGGCCCCAAATCACAAGTCCGGATGGATTCTCTCCTGCAATTGAAATTTTGGTAAGACTTCAAAACTTCAACAACGGTGTGTAAACTATAGAGGTTAAGGATTTACCAGATATCTGTGGCCCGGTCTAGCTCCTCTTCAGATAAGAGGCGAAAACCGATCCTTTTCACAATCCAGAAATGGGATCCGTTAGATCCGTCAGTAACGTCAGTCTTTACTTTAATATTGAATCTCTTGCATTCATTCACCAAACTTGGTGTTCTCCAACAGCTGACCCACATGACTCCACCTTTATGGTCCTCAAAGGGCGGGGAAAGGCGGGTATGGTAGTGACGAGAAAAATCCTCATCCTCTATTGTTATAGCTAAAGTTGAATGATCAGGATCTATAATATGACAAATAACACATACTGCAAGCCCTTGGAAACTTCCACTTGAAACTCGAGGCACATCTACAATTGTACAAGCAACATTATCCTCATGATTAAACCCACAGGGCATCGTTCCTTCGGGAAGAAAGATGTTATAAATCGGCTCCATATAATCAGAAAAACCCTGCAACACGGACAATTCATTTTAAAAAAAAGAAAGAAAGAAAAAAGCCTTGCCACATAAAAAAATGAGAATTGTCTTCTTAACTTTGGAAAATTTGAAAAGGACAGAGAGCAAGAGAGTAACCTGAATGGGACGATCCTTACTCCAAGTAAGTATGAAGTCTCTGAAAAAACGCGAGCACTTCTTTAGCGAAGCCTTCAATCCCAACAAGTGCTCTAACTTAGCAAGTTGCTTGCCAGTTAAACGTTTCACATGGTACCAGTGCATATGCGAAGGAAAGATTGGTCTAGCACTACTGTCACTGAGCCCTCCTTTGAATGTTATTTTCTCCAAAGAATTGCAATGGTATGTGATGAATATCTTGCCTGATTCAAATTCTATTACTTTGAGCTTATTGCACAGCGTTAGGGAAACCCAGGTTTTAAGAGGAAGGGAAGTAAGATCAACTGGTAGGCTGCAGAAGTTGTTTTTGCGTAAATTCAATTGCCACAAAAAGGGGCTTCCAACAACCAAGGGACCTGATGTATCTGATAGATCACATTCAGAAACATCAAGCGTTTTTAACTTTGGCAAATTTGATAGAAAAATTGGTAAGTGTTGAAAAGCGTTTCCTCTTAGAAGCAAGGTCTCCAAATTTTGTAAGCCACTGAGATCTCTGGGAAATGAATTCTCTGATAGTTTGCAGAACGACAGATTCAATTCTTTTACAGAAGTCAGACTCCATAGAGGAGACAAATTGTAGGTACCTGGACTTCCAAGCAAAGATCCCCCATTGTTCCAAAAGAAATTTGTAAGATTCTTGAGATGGCCAATGGACATGGGCAAATGCTTGATGGCAGTGCAGCCTATATTGAGCTCTTTCAAACTTTCCATGTTCCCAAAATCCTCTGGTAACTCCTCTAGTTTTGAGCAGAGATACAAGTTAAGATTCTCAAGTAACCTTAACTTACAAATGTCTGTAGGAAGATGAACAAGGTTCTGGCAGTTTACCAAGTCCAGGTAAATGAGTTTGCTAAGATTGCCAATGGACTGATGAACCTCGATCAAATTAATGCAGCCTTTGAAGATCAATTTCTCAATGTTTAAAAGACCTGAGATGTCTGAGGTTCCAATTAAGTCATGCGAGTGACTGAGATCAAGGACTTTAAGATTTTTAAGAACCTGCAAAAAGGACGAGCATCATTTAATGTTTATATAACGAAATGGTAACTCTAGTCAAGGATAATCCTACCCGGAACAAGAAATATATACAGCCATACCTTTGATACATCCCAAATATATTTGAGTTTGCTGTTCCTTAAACTCAGAACAACCAGTTTTTTGAGATTTAAACTTGATGGTATGGATACCTGAGGATATCTTTCCCAACACAACCATCTTAACTCTTTAGAAACATATTCAAAGCTTCCAACAAAGTCAGCATTTCTAAGTTGGAGTATTCTTATATTGCTCATCCGTGCAAGTGCTTCAGTACTAAATGGTTTCTCCCTTGTTTCTGGGAAGAACCCCTTAAGACCTATGACTCTGTTTGTACCCTGATGACAATAAGAAATAACAATGTTTTACATAACAATCAATGTACTACTTAAACAATTTATTGGAGACTGGACACTAAGCAAAGGCAATTGATGCTTACCTTATGGTGTTTCAGAACCTTACGAACATCTTTATAAAAGGACAGTCTACTGCGCTCACCAGGTTCACCACGATTCTCTTCACGAACAATTTCTCTTGCCATCTCTTGAAGCAGATCATGCATTCCCAGCTTCTTTCCTCTTATTGTTAAGAGGCACTTTTGGATAAGACTACGTAGATTGATTTTTGTATGGAATCCACAACCATCTAGTATTTGAATTGTATTGTCTTCATCCATACCTACAAAGAAGAATGCAATGTGGAGAAAAATGGCCTTCTGATGGTCGTCCAGTGAATCAAAACTTATTTTAAGTCTTTTAAAAATCTCCCCAGGGGGGATACTTTTGAGTTCCTCCAATGCACTAGTCCACTCAAGTCGATTTTTATCGGATAGGAAAGAACCCAGAACTTTAAGAGCTAATGGATGTCCTCCTGCATATCTCACGATCTCATGAGAAATGTTTGCATAATCATCTGGTGGAGAAAGTTCTCTGAAGGCATGCCAAGAAAAGAGTTTCTCAGCATGATAAAACTCTAAACATGGGACCTCATACTTGGCATCCACTCTATAACCAGGATCATTTAGCAAATGTTCATATCTACATGTTACTATGATTCTACTGCCAGTGCCAAACCAACTTTTCTCTTTAGCAAGAGCTGCAAGTTGGTCCAAATGGTCAACATTATCTAGGATGATTAGAACCTTTTTGTGCTTAAATCGATCTCTAATCTTTTCAATTCCGTCATCAACATCTCGTAGGTGCAAGTCTTGGACTCCTACAATATCATATAGAAGTTGCCCTTGCAACTTAACCAGTTCACCATGTCTTGATCCTAGCTGGACGTCTTCAAGCCTTAGCAAGCTGTTACCATCAAATTCCTTAGAGATTCTATTCCTAATTACCTCTGCAACTGTTGTTTTCCCTATTCCAGGCATTCCATAGATTCCTATGAACTGAACATCTGTGGAGTCAAGTCTCAAGAGTGATATTATTTTCTCTACTGGAGAGTCAATTCCAAAAAGGCCGTCCACATCACTAAGGTATGTGTGATGCACTTTTTCCCAAACATCTTCAATAATTTTCTTGATCAACTCGGATTCATCCCTGCTTGTTGTGAAAAGGATTAAAATTTGATGTTGGAAAACACAACAGAGATATCCAACTAAGTGCACTTTAGGAAAAATTTCAGCATACATTTTACATGTCTGAGTGCTATATGCTACACTACATCTACTAAAGTAATTGTAGGCATGAGGAAAGGCATTTTCAGTGCAGACGGTCTCAAAAGAAAAAAAAAAAAAGATTGGTACCAAGAGAAGAAATTTATCCTAATAATTATTCAAGCAAGAAAGAGATGAATGAAGTACCCATTGACACTTTGAAGATCAAAGCCGGCAAGGTCCGCAGCATTGGTAAGGGCAGTCTTCCACCTCTCTACTTTGTCCGTGGTAACCTTCTGGTGACACGCAAAGGCTTTGCCAAAGATCCCCCTCTGGTTGCGGACGTCTGAGGGATCCACATGAAAGAAAACGGGTAGAACCATCTGCCCTAACTTGTCCCTGCAATCGAGGATTTTGACCAGCTCGTCCAGGCACCATCTAGAATCAGCATAGTTTTCGGAGAACACGACAATTGCAATTCTGGAATGCTCGATGGCTTCTAGTAGGCTGGGGGTTATGTCGCTTCCTCTTTCGAGCTCATTGTCGTCTTTATATGTCCTGAATCCCACCCGGTTTAAAGCAGAATAGAGATGTCCCAGAAATGTTTTGCGGACGTCTTCACCTCTGAAACTCAAGAATACATCATGATCCCAACTTGGCTTTGATGGAAACGAAGCAGCCATTAGAGTTCGAAAGAAAATGGATTTTTTAGGGTTGTTTGTGGTGCTACGTGGGGATTTTGTTCTAAATTTATATTAATTGATTTATTTATTCTATGAATGATTGAGAAACTTCCGAGAAATTCTTCTTCAATTCTGGAAGGAAAGAGGGATTACGCTTTGTTTCGTAAAAATAACAAGTTTTATTATTTGGTATAAGCTTTATTTCTTTTATTTTAAATATTTATTGTTTTTTATTTTAAATTTATCTTAAATTATTATTATTATTTTTTATTTTTTAAAATAAAAAAATATTTTTTATTTTAAATTCATGTTTATCTATGTACTTTAATTAATCATTTAATCTTAAAAGATCTTTCTATCTTTTTTTATTAAATACAAATATTATCCTCAAATTCTTAATTAAAAAAAAGTTTTAAAAAATAGCAATTATGGGAGTATTGATATATTAATTAGAAATTTAAAAAGATATTATAATGAAATTAATTGTGAATTTGA